ACTCATTCGCGTGTTCGTCATTTTTTATTCGTTTTCACAATTGAAAAGTGCTTCTGATTGCACGGCAGTAGGTCTCATAAACTATTGTCATTATTGCTTATTGCTTAGTATCGCTTGATCAGGCTCGTTTATCGCGTAGTTGCTTACCGACGATACGATACGACGGTCTCATTGAGTATTCATTGCAATTCTCATTGGACGCCAGCTCTGTGAATCTGCGAGGAATGACGCAAATGAGTGAATATCTGGATCTTGAATGGATCTTGAGTGCTAACAATGGGCCGAGCAGTGCTTTTTCGAGGTTTTCCATTCAGCTTTTCGATTTACACGCTGATCTATATTGATTTATTTGTTCATGTGGATTTTATGGTGAGCACAAATTTGTGGTCAAAATAAGTGCTGATTGTTTAAAGGACATTCTCACCGAATGCGGTTGATGTGAACACAATTCGATCTATTGTGCATGCGAGCAATTTTGGAAAGGCATTGCGACGACACCAAAACGACGAAAGTAAATTGCCATGGGAGGCTGACATAGACTTCAAGGTTGATTTTTGCCTGCTTGATTGCCGCAGTCAAAATGGAACGTATCATTCCTCAGTGATCATACTCACAAAGCTGTATGCATCATAGTATCGAAACTATTTTAAGTCCGAAATTTCACAGCGACGTTTATTTTAGCAGTGAATGAATCACAAATGCTTATTGAGAATCACACGTGATACTTCGTTATTTGAAGTGCACATTTTCAGTGGGTTCAGAACGAGACTTGTACTGTTCCCTTCATTTATTCATCAGTTATTGCCGTCATTTCCGTATTCTTGTAAAATGAGTTCTTAGTTTCGTCCAGACTGACAGTCGGCGCTAACGAAAAGTGTTAAAGGGTTGGCATAAAGAGGTAGATATTGCAGGAGGATGAATTCTCACTCGCTTCACTGCAAACATCAAACATCACTGCAAATTCCTATGACGAAAGTGAACAGCAACACGAATTTCGAAACGAAAGCAGTGGTAACATTTTCAGGAATTAGCTTTGTGCTTGTATATTCATAAAGTCGGCTAGTCGTTCTAATGAGCTCATGGCTGAAATCACATACACATGTTGCGATTGTATTCGTAAGAACAAATGTTGGATCATTAACGATCAATGACTAAAAATCAATGATTGGAGTATTGATTTCACTTATTAACTTCATTATCGTGTAATCCAATTAGATCATTTTCACACACTGTTGCACTTTCACAATTAATTAACGCCTCTGGTGGAGAATTATTTGCGTATTCATTAGCTGTAAAGTTGAAAAGCAAGTAATCGTCACTCACTTGGAAGACTCATTAGATTCGGCCATCGAAATTATCGGTCGTAGAAAAGCACTTACTTGTACCTTAAAAACTAAATACTGTCGCTAACTCGTGACAAATCGATTCTATGTTGTGGTGTACCACTAATTTAGTGCAGTCGAAATACTCAGACGTTCAGTGATTGTCGAATATTCACTGAAGTCGGTAATTATTGTTTGCCAGGACTGATTTTGAAAGGAAAATTGAAATGAATTTAGCAATTGTGAATTTATTCGGTTGTCATGGTGAGCAAATGACGTCTCAGGTTAACGCCTCTCAGAGACAATCTCATAAGCATTGNACAGCACCGGTCAAACCTATTATGCACCTTGCTGCGCATAATCATCTAGAAAACGCCGTTGCAATGTTTTTCATGAGATGTTGCTCAAATTTCTTCATCATTTTACATATGAATTTCAAATTGTCACGCAAATTACTTACCAACAATCATACGCATCCACTTAAATCAAACGCGAGTAATGTGTGCATATCCTCAAATCTTCATCGATCCTGATGTATTTTGCTACTGAACACACTTCAATGTAGAATATAGCTGTTCATCAATATTCACCCACTTAATTCATCCGCAAATGTTGGTTGCCATCCCAAAGGACTACAATTTCAGTACATCCTTGGTACCACACTACCCACTTAACAATAATTTAGCAGTTTAGCAACAGTTTCTTTTTCCTGTAAAATTTATCTATTCAAAATTATTCGAGCATTCTCCGTCAAGTAGCACAATTCTTACAAAATAATACTTCACAACTTTACTGAGGCTTTTTTCGTCCAAATCAACTGAATCAATATATTGAATATAACTGGCGGAACTATTACTTTAATCCCCTATTCCTCACGGAGAGACGCGATGATCACGGGATGGTTAGAGGTCCTTTTTGCTTCGTCTTTTCCTGTGAAATCCCGATGTCAACTTTAGTCCGTAAAAGTGTCGTGTAATGCGAAAATATAGCTGTGGATGCATGCGAATAAGTTATCGCGTGGAGGACTGACTGAATTAACTTAAAATCGCAATAACGACACATTGGGTGTCATTAAGGTGAAATGACATAAATGGGTTCTTCGATCAGCCGTTCAAGCTCAGCTGGTGCGGTTAGGAGTGTTAAGGTTCGTCCCTGCTCCAGCTATGCTCAACGACGTTTTTCAACCCACTTGCAACCAATTGCTTACGTACAGTGTAAGTTTACTGTGATATTATTAGCGAACGCATTTCTAGCTCTCATAATTCGAAGCAGTCCAACACAGATCTAACATCACTCTCATAACACAACGATAGAGAACGGTAAACTATCAATTTAATCTTACTGATGATTCAAAACACCGTAAAATGCTCAAAAGATGAGAATCAAGAAACTCACAACTGCTGAAGTTTGAATCTGAATTGATGCGACGAAGACTTCAAGTGGCAGAAGCAGATTCCGAGTCCGAAGGGAGTGAAAGGAATTGCGAGGAGAATAAAACGCAGAGAAATGCAAACTGAATGCAATGAGAAAAAGCTTCATCAACAGTAGTTTCTTGGTAGTTTATGACGAAAAATCTATTGATTCCGGCTTTTATGCCGTGAATTTGCTACATTTTTTCAATGTTTGTTCGTTTCTCTAGTTACGGTCGCTATGTTGGGCAACGCAGTCGTTTCTTTGTGGTACAGACGATTTGATGAATCCTTCAATGATTGTTTTTCACATGTTCAATCGCAGTTGAAACTAGGCTCTCGACTCTTCAATTCGCTCCGTTCCTATCCATATAACATTGAGTAATTATATAATTTATTCTAAAAAATTCGTAATTTTAATTGAAACCGACACTTCTATTCTTTCGGTTTCCTCGAAATCACTGCAATGAAACTAGTCATTTATGGGTTCTATGTTGACAGCTTGATCATTCAACATATAGAACAGTCCTATCGTTTTCAGCTATTCCTATCTCTACACTATTTTGTTCACCACTAGTGATGTCTCTATTCCAGTCAATATGTTCTATTCCTGTTCTCTTCCATGGAATAGAATAGAACAGTTCGCAAATGAGGAAGGAACAGTTTAGAACAGAATAGAGCCGTTTTTAAGTCCAAAGGAACAGAATAGAACAGTTTTCAAAAACGTGGTATAGAAACATCACTATTCACCACTCTCAATTGACAGCCTTTTCAAACATTTTATAGCAAGCGGATTTCTTCGAATGTGTCATTTGGTTGTCCTGGTTCCAACTGTTTACATGTAATATCATTAGGCCCGCACGTATACGGATGAAATTCGTGAATGGACGGATTCGGTTCGACGGGAAAGATTGATGAAAGCCGCGCCATCTCGATATATTCGTAAAAATCAACCGAGGATCCGCTTGCCATTTTTTCATGTCGCTCACAAAAAGAGTACGCCCTGCAGATAATGCTGTTTTTCTTTATGATGGCTGTCACAATTTACTTCAGCTTTCGGCGTTTATTTTGTAATAACACCGTATTATATTATCGAAACACAAAGTATTCATATCATATGAACACAATAGGGAGGAGATGAGATATATGAATAGAGATATATGAAATATGAAATTGAGATATATGAGATATATGAAATTCACATTTCGTCATCCGAATCAATAGNCTCACGAATTGTCTCTTTCGCGCTCCGTCGCGACATCAGCTGTTGATTTTTTTCATTGTCTAGTCGTAATCATAATTTTCTGGACGCATTATGTGTGCTTGATCGAGTCCTTTATCAAAATGCCCGTTTAATGCAAATGTTTTGCGGGATTCCAGTGCAAGTGAATTATTGATTCTTTGTTTGTTCGGGGACATCCGCATTGATTCATTGCTTGTCATGCAAATGTCTGTTCTGTTCTCTTGTATTTTCGCGAACAGATCCCTGTTACGTCATGGGGATGCTTCTTTGAGACCATCGCCATTGCAGCTTGCACAAGTCATTTGCACACTAATTTTCTAATGTGGTTCCTTGACTGAACAAAACTTAAAATACATCTGAAGCGAGGAGGCACAAATTGCTATGTGAATACCGCTCCGGCTCCTTAAGACATACAACGTGATAATGGCTCATATGCACTTTACTTCAGCGATAATCACATAAACTGTAGTGCGCCTATTTAAGTTGTTTGGGCGTTTTTCAGTGGAAACACCTTATTATCTTGGTGATTGATCACTTGCTCAAGGAACTGCCTGCAGTTTCATTAGGGAGCAGCTGTATTTCAACAATTAGAATGGAGTTCCTTGAGACACTTCTTAAAGCAATTTCATTTATCATTCTCTCAATTTATTTCAATTCAAATATTCACTTTCACGCTTTCAGATGTAAAACTCTCACCGAGTGAAACTGTCAAATCGTGGCAATCGCCTACGCGTGTGAGCAAAATTGCAACGCTTAGGAGGCGATCAAGTGAGCTTTCGCACTCCAATGAATGATAATTGTTTTTGTTTTTTCAGTGAACCATTGCGGCCAATCTAAATAAATTCAAGTTCAATATGAACATATAGGACAATGAATTTAGATTCTTTCTTGTAATCATTAGCACTAGTAGTGTATTATTGTATTCTGAACTGTTGAATAGTTTCAGGTCATTCTGAACCAGCAACCAATGGTGGTGGTATAGTTGAGGTGAGTGCATTGCAAAGTCATTATCTCTCAATTCATTTCAATCGAAATATTCACTCATCATGAGAAACACTCATTATTAATCTGTTTCACCTTCATAAATTATTTACATCATTGAAGTTTTCATGCTACCGTAATCTTGCGCAATTATGGCCATAATTGCTGGTTTCTCAGAATCTTTTACGCAGAAGTCCAGCTCTCCAGTTGTCTGCTGATGGTCGCTAATAGAGAATTTGGAGATTCTAAACGAGCTGAACTGAAAACTGAACTCAAAAGATATTTCTACATTTAAGGTGTCGCATCATTTCAGCAAACAAAACAGTTGAACGGTAGCAGTGCTATTTCAAGGAACAAAATGGGAAATCGCGAAACGCGTGAGGTGGAGGACAACACGGCCGCCCAACATGCTTCCAAGAATGGCTTTTCATTCAGTGCTGTTCAACGCGGTTATCTCACAAACGGGTATTTATTTGGTGAATTTTAATGCCTCCACCTAGACAGTCAACAAATCTCATTGCAATCATACTATACTCATTGACAAACTTGTCATGTTTCTCTCGCTAATCGCGCGAAACTCATTAGATTTCCATATCTTAAACAGTCAAGAGGGCTTACGTTAGTAAACAGGATGCTGAATTCTGTTGGATTAGTCTGGTTCAGCAGGTTTATGGCTAGCAATGAACAAATAATGAACCCTACGAAGAATCCGTACCGAATGGTATAGTTTCAGTTTGAGTAGGCCTTTGAATCGCGTGAGATCAGACGGAAGTATTCTCGAGGAGATCAACAATTCGAGTAATATCTCAATGGCCAGGTTAAAAGCAGCCAAACACCGACAGTTCCGTGACGGTCAGTCATTTGAAGATCAAATTATTCTCACTTTGAAGAGCAAACTAAGACCGTTTTGAACCTCAAATTTTAAAAAAAGAGTGTAAAATTTACCCGCCAGCGGTGAACAGACTTCATTGATATTGCTCCTTTATTGCTGTTAAATGTCATCATTCTTGCCAACCTTATTCAGTATACCCTCCGTCCGAACCAGCCATTCCAACGCACAATCAAGTTGCTTTGGTGAAGAAAAGTGTGAGCCATCAAAATCTAGCGAGCAGCTCGAGGGCGCAGGTAACTACCTTTTTGATATGACTTTCACGTGGAAGAGTTAATTGCATCCAGCAAAATGTCAATGTGACCTTGAAACAAAACATCTTGTAGCGTAATCCTTTGAACGCAGCCACAAGGTCGTACTTGAAAGCTGGTTCGTCAAGTCGTTTGAGGCCTGGCGTCAGCCAGCCATCCTCATTACGTGGTTCGCGACCGAACCTGAATGCAACCTCAACCTCGTTGGATTTGTCTCGTCGAATCAACGTTGAGGCAATCGACCGTGATCCTGCGCTCGCTGTTCAAAACGCACTTCGTAAAATCAATAGTGATGAATGGTTCGTGCTTAAAAGCAGTTGCATTTTACAAATAAACGATAATATCTCGGGAAATTTCAGTGCAAACTGATATCAAGGATGATGTGAATCGGAACATCATTGTAAAATAGATTTGTTATTGAAGCGGTGAGCAATCCTTCTTGCTTAGCAGTAGCTAACAATATTTCTTGCTATTCAGGACCAGTAAAGTGGAGGCAATTCAGACGATCGTGCACGTCGCTGAGACATCACCTCAAGCTGTGGCAAATAACTTACAACCTGTCATAGCGGCGCTTCTCACTGAGTGTAAAAATCTTCGTTCAAGTGTTTCAAGAATAGCGATTATAGCGCTTGGAACGCTCTTTAGAACAACCAAAACTAAAATGGATGTGGATATAGAGAAGGTAACTGATATCGAAATAGTGATTAGTGATCTTCTGATGATCATTTTAATGCCAAATGGATCGATAAAATCTTTGAGGACCTCTATTGTGAGCTCGTCAAATCTTATATTAGAAGTGAACCTATTCGAAGAATTGTTGGCATTCGGGAAAGTATTTCGTAGGTGAAATTTGAAACTGTAATTCTACTTTTCTTGAACATGAGTTGGTTACTCGTTCATAATATCAGCTGAAGTTGGGTGCATTCTAGGTTTGTTTGATGTTGATGCAAAAAGCTGGCGATGTGAGCAGTGCCTTCATTCGTGAAGATGCAACCGCATCTCTCGAGGAAATGGTCCAAAATGCATCTTCAAATAAAGTGCTCAATGCACTTATCGCTTCTGGAGCCAAGTTGGTTTCATTCATCGTTCACTTCATCAGCTTTNCCACATCTCCGAAACAACTCGTAATCATGCATAAATTTTGTGCTAATTTTGTTCTCGACTTTGTATTTGCGAGTTCCTTTCACGTCGTGTGGCTGTGTGATGATAGATCGATTTACAGAAGTAAGAACAATTCAATTCGTGCGGGTTGTGCCCAACTAATTACACGCCTCATTGAACGAGTCGGTGCAGTGAATGCCCTCAATAGCGGAGAATTTCCGAAATTGATGAAAGCTCTGCTCGGTTTCGCCAAGGACCCGAGTCCGGCCGTGCGACAGCATGGAAAACAAGCACTTCAGTTGCTAACTAAGGTGATCAGTATCATGTCTTGATAATGTCCTAATTGTGTGAGCTGTAAACTTTTAGCTACCCATTGACTTTCGTTACTGGCTTTCCATTTGAAAAAGTGAAATAGTGTCAAGTTTTCAGGATCAAGCAATGTTCGATAGAACAGCAAGGCGGGTGCTGAGTGAAGCGGAATTGAGGGCACTCAATGAGGTATTGGAAAGTATCAGGAAAAGGGTGAGCCATGCACGCAATTCATTATAACATTAACGAGTATTTATTCGCAGTAACATCCGTATATGTTCGAATTTTCATCGCATTCGTTCAACGTTTAGGATGTTTGCTTTATTACGTGAAATTCATTGAAGAATTCGGTTTTCCAATAGTCATTTGGAAATTCATTGTTCAAGGGTACCGACGGAACGAATCTTGATGCAACA